ACCCTGCAGCTGGGAGCCCTCAGCCAGAGACCAAGCCCTGACCCAGCCTGGACTTGGTCTCAGCATCTCAGGCCTCAGTTTTCCAGCTGTTTCACTGCGAAATGGCATGAGGGACCCTCTATTATCATGATTCATTTTCAGTTTACTATAGGATGCGTGTGCTCACCAGAGACAGGGGAAGAGAGAGAGAGACGGAGGGGGAATGGCCACTCCACAATCCCTTCTCCATTCTCCTCTCAGGATTCTGGGCGTGCATACATCCCAGCCTGGTGTGTTTTTTAAGTCGCCAGGTCCAGGACTCAAGCCGTGCATTCATGTGGGATCCAGTCACCTTAAACACCACACCACCGGGCTGACCTGAGGGTGCCTCTCTAAAGACATTGAAGAGCAATTTGCTCGTCCTTGAGGAGAATCAGCTTTGCTTTAAACGCCCTCCTTTCCCTCAGATATCTGTCTGTCAGGTCGTGTGGGGTTTGCAGGGTGCATGGAACAGAGCATGAGGAAAAGACCAGACTTCTAGACCCCAGAGACAGGAGCCCGGGTGGGGATGGGTGGACCCAGAACTGGACAGAGCGAGTAACATGGGAGAGCATCCGCTCAGATGAAGAGAGGCCCCGGGATTCAGCAATGGAGTGACTGAGCTGGAGGCAGAGAGGCTGAGATGCCGAGAACCAAAGCAGACCCTGAGGGGGGACACTGGGACTGGGGTCTTCATTGGCCACACTCTTCTGTGAAGTCCAGGGTGAGTGGAGGGAGCAGGTGACCTGAGGCTCTGGGAGGCCGAGCTAAGAGGTCACTCCTTGGCTCCAGTTAGGGCGTTCTCACAGTGAGAGCCACGCCTAGGGTGGTGAGCTCTCTGTCACTGGAGGTGCGTGAGCAGTGGCTGCTGCCCGTGACTTGGCAGGCCATGCTGGGGCTGTGCTGGGACACTCTCCTGCCTGGGGACTCTGGGTGAAGGAAGAGAGTGTGGTCTGGCTGCAGCACAGAGGAAGGTCCCCAAGAGGATCTGTGAATACTGGCTGGGGAGAGGGAGCTGGGAAGCCATCCTGGAGGAGGTGACGTGGTGCGGAATCAGCCATGAGCAAAGGCCTGGGGGCAGGTTTCTCACTGGCTTTCTCACTGGCCCCTCTGGGCCCCTTCTCACTCCAGTCCTCATCCCTCCCCTGTGTCCTCACACAGAGCTCTCAAAAATCACGGGTTGTGAGCTCTCCAAAGAGCACTTCTCAAGGACAAGGTTAGGTGCAAACTTGCTGGGAGAAACACGTCCAGGGCCCACTGCTGCAGCCTCTTCTCCAAGTCCAGTGCTTCCAGGGGGACGGGGCACAGGGTGACCACAGGGAGTGGGAGGAGCTGAGGACCTCTTAGCCAGAACTCCTGTGGTCTCCGTGTCAAAGTCTGACCAAAGACCAAGTGGTGGTACAAGGGTAACGTGACTAGACCCGCACAGCAGAAAGGCCTCCCAGGGCCTCCTGACATGCCCAGGTGCACACACATGTGCTGGGATCTCAGCCAGCCATGGTCCAGGCCAGCTAGAATAAGGGGTTGATGGCAGCAGGAGGACCCTGTTGGGGGATGCCTGTCTGTCTCTCTTATGAAAGAAATAAATAAACTTAAAAAAAGGGGGGAGACCAGGGGATGGCATAAAGGTTATAGTGCTGGATTCCCACACAGTCAACAGTGGTTCGAATCCGGGACCTGGTGGTTTAAAACACACAGGGTGCATGTGCGTGCATGCCCAAGATCCCGAGAGGAGAATGGAGAAGGGATTGCAGCATGGCCATCCCCCCTGGGGGGTGATTTCTTGCTTTCTGTTTCTCTGTCTCTCTCTATCTTGCTGGCAAGCACATGCACCCAATAGCAAAAATAAGAAAAAAAGAAAGAAAGAAAGGAAGGAAGAGAGAAAGAAAAAGAAGCCAACCTAAACTGGAGTTAAAAGGAGGGATAAGGGTACCGGCCGATTTATGTAACTGGAAGATCACTGTGGGTTCCAGGCCTGGCTGGACCCTCCACAATGCGGGCAGAGGAGGTGCACGGGAGGCGGGGCATTCAGGCCAGTCCAGCTTCGGCTCCCAAACGAAGTAGCCAGGATCCATGATCTCCTCTTCTCAGCTCCTCTGTGGAGGCTTCATTTTCCATGGTGGCAAAATGGACACCAGCAGCTCCAGAGTGACATCCCACCAGCTTAGCCATCTCTGAAGTGCAAGAGTTTCTCCTGCAGAGTACCAGCAAAAGGCGCAGGTTCAGGAGCCAGCCAAGCGACATGGTGATTAAGGCAGCTGGATCCCTCTTCACTGATGCACAGTTCAAGTCCCAGATCTAGGAGTTTGAAAAACATGCCCGTTGTATGTGTGTCTGTGCTCAAAATCCTGAGAGTGGAGAAGGAATGATCGTCCCCCTCTGGGGGTACTTTCTCATGTTCTCTCTCTCCTTCTCTGTCTGTCTCCGTTGAGTGTAGATGATTTATAGAAAAAAAAAAATAGTGAGTGTAGATGCTCTATAGAAAAAAAATAGTCCAACTCTTATTGGGTGGTGTTGGGTCATGTGACCACTCCAGAGCAAATCATCATGACCAAGGAAATCGTCTGCCAATTGGAGAAGCCTGCTCATGTGCACACTCCTGACCTGGCCCCTCCCATGAGGAAAGAGTACAAACGAAGGTCCTGGGGCAGGAGAGAAACAGCAGATCAGTAGGAGGAGGCTGAAGGGGAGGGGTGAGGCCTCGCCTGTTGCTATCTGGGGCCTGCAGGGGGCAGCAGCGACCAAGCTCAGCATTGGATACGCTGACTTGAGCAGCTCTGGAGTCAGGTTGAGGAGGGACTTGGAGGAGGAGCTGGGTGGACAATGGGAGGGACAAAGAGAACGCTGGTGAGCTGGGTGGCGGTGTACACCTGCCATCCCACATATTCGAGAGGCTGAGGCAGAAGGACCAGAAGATGAAGGCCAGCCTGGGACACAGAATGAGACTCTGTGTCTTGGAGAAAAAAACAAAAAGACATTGGTGGGCTGCCTCCCTCGGGCCTGCAGCAGGGAGACCACGCTGGAGAGTAGCAGCCATTCTGGGACCAAGAGGCCTGGAGAATTCTGTTGCCAGCCTGGGCCCTGGGCCGTAGGAGTAGACAGCTTTGAGCTCTCTGCTTGGAAGGTGAGCTGGGGGTACGGGGGTGGGGGGTGGGCAGGCCTAACATATCTACCTGTAGGTGCACTCACAGGCTTGCCCTGGAGATACACAGCAGTATGCGCCAATGGGCTTGGCAGTGTACACGTGCACGCTCACACACACACACACACACACACACACACAGTTATCCTGAATCTCCATGATGAGGAAGGCCACACCCTGGAGAGAAGCATTATCCAGGCTTCTTTTGGTTATAAGCAAGGGACAGAAACCATATGCAAATTGGCTTAAATAAAGGAAACGCATTTCTTGGCGAGGTAACTAAAGTCCAAAAGTAGTGTTTTTAAAATTATGTTCTTACATTTTTATTTAATATTATTATTTTTTAATTTGACCACAGAGAGAGAGAGAAAGTGAGAAAACAAGCCACCACGTCTGGGACTGGAACCATAGTCAGCCATGTGGAATTTCAGCGCCTTAACTACCACACCACCTGCTGGTCTCCCAAAAGTAGATTTTTAAACATATTTCAGGCATGGCTGGATCCAGGTGCTCAAGCAATATTGTCAGGAGCCTATCCTTCTTCATTTCCTGGCCTAGCTTCTCTCTAGGTGGGCTTCATTCTCAGGCTTGCTCTCTCTGTGAAGTGGCAAAAACAGCTAACCATAGTTTTATTCTCACAGACTTCCTGCTTAGCCACCTGCAAAGAGATGTTTCTTTTCCAGTGATTCCCAGAAAAATCCTAGCTTCATTGCTGCAACCCCCCAGGTCATGTGCCCATCCTCAGAACCCTCACTGTTACCAGGGGGATAGAACAGGGAAGGGAGGTCGGCCCCCTCTGAAACTCCTGGAATAGGGACTGACAGTTAGTGTAATGGATATGTCACTGGACTCCCATGTAGTTGACCATGGTTCGAGTCCTGGACCCCGTGGCTTAAACTCACACCGGGCGTGTGTACGTGCATGCCCAAGATCCCGAGAGGAGAATGGAGAAGAAGGGATTGCGGCATGGCCATCCCCCCTGGGGAGTGATTTCTTGCTTTCTGTCTCTCTGGCAAGCGCACGCGCCCTATAGCAAAAGGAAAAACCTCTTGGAATGAAAATGAAGAACCCAAAGGAAAAGGAGTTGTCAGAGCTGAGACCGGAAGGCCAGAATGCCACAGGGCCTCAACTGGGGGCTGGCTGCAGCAAGTCCTTCAGTGGCCCCCTTTCTTCCCCTTTCCCAGGGGCTCCCGGCATGAACAGAATCGTAACAACCGTTCTTATGATCAGCACTCACTCATTGCCAGTGCCCACTCGAAGTGTTTTTTCACACATTATCTGATTTAACGCATAATGAGAAGTGCTATTATCATTCCCATTTTACAGATGAGGGATCTGAGGCATGGAGGGATTCGATAGCTTACCCCACCCCAGATCACACAGCCAGTAATGGAGCTGAGGTTCAGATCCAGGCTGTTGGGCAGCAAAGGCCAGACTCTCAGGATCATGTTCTGCTGTTCTCCGTGGGAGGACCTCAGGATAGACTCTAGGGTGGAGGACTGGGGTCTGAGACCCCAGCAAACCCTGCTCTAGGAAAAGGATCTGAGTGGGTCAGTAAGTCTCCTCCCTGGGAATTAGTGTTTCCAGTGAAAACAGTGGTGAACTTCAGGCGCAGGCCAGCAGGGGGCGGTAGGAGAGGCAATCCCATCTCTAGCCCAAGACTGGAGATTTGGGTGGAGAATGGTTCAGAGAGAACGGCTCCGAGAGGCCTCTGGGGAAGGCCGCCATGAGTCCAGCCGTTGCCAGGAAGGGCAGAGGACCGTATAGCCACATGCCATCCTTGAACGACCCCGCTTAACTCTGTCCCAGAGCCACAGTTGCCCTGTGCCCCTCTCCCCAGGTGGGTGTTTGTCTACGAGAAGGGCTACCAGACCTCCGGCGGCCTCATCAGCAGCGTGTCTGTGAAACTCAAGGGCTTGGCGGTGACCCAGATCCCTGGCCTCGGCCCTCAGGTCTGGGATGTGGCCGACTACGTCTTCCCAGCCCAGGTGAGCTGACCCAGGGGTGCACCTTCCGCCCACGGGGCCTGTCTCTGTCCCTGTGGGGCCAGTACAGCAACCTGTCTCCCTCTGGTCCTGTTTCCCTAACTGTGAGCAAGGGCAGAAGCAGCTTGGTAAAAGCCCCCACTCTGACGTCAGGAGGAGTGGAGGCTGCTGGGTGGCTTGTGGGCTCCCGGGCCCTGCTGGGCCAGCGCGTGTATTCTCAGGGTGGTTCTCTCAGCTCATGGCCCTGCCCACCTTCGCCTGCCTCTCACTTCCAGGGGGACAGCTCCTTCGTGGTCATGACTAATTTCATCGCGACCCCACGGCAGGCTCAGGGCTACTGCGCAGAGGTGAGGACTTCGCCAGGAGGTGGGCCTGGGGTGACACTGGGTGGGCTGCCCCCAGGGGTCGCAGTGGTGGAATATCAGGCTAGACTCACACAAGGTACCTGTCCACCTCTGACGGTGCCAAGCCCTCCCTCCCAGCTGTGTGTCTTAGTGCCCACGCCCACCCCCATTTCTCCCACCTCCACCCCGTGCCGCTGACTTTGATGATGAGCAGCCGGCCATGAGCCTGGGGGGCCACAGCAGAGCAGTGTGGAGAGTCCTGGGGGAAAGGCCAAAACAGCCGGAGACTCTGCCCCACACCCTCCTAGGGCCCTGGGGGTGGAAGGGGCTCTTCCCAGCACCCCACCCGAGAGGCCTTGGGCCAGCAGCTCTCCCCTCCCCCAGCACCCGGAAGGGGGTACCTGCAGGGACGACCGCAGTTGCATTCCTGGGAAGGCAGAAAGGAAGGCCCAAGGTAAGGTCGGCCTCCTCCCGGCCCTGGTGTCCTACAGGCTCCCTTGGGCCTGGCAGGCCTCGCCTCACGTGCCCTCTGCCAGTCTGTCCTCCACAAGCGGGGGGCCCTTCCAGTTCTCTCCTGCCATGCTGTCCCAGGCCCTGCTGGCTTTCTGTCCTCAGGCTCCTTTCCTCGGGTATCCCACATCAGGGGGTCCTGGAGGAGAAGCTGGGAGAGCCTCCTCTGCACCCCCAGCTTGGGATGGGCACCCAGGGGCTCCTCCCTCTCTCCAGGGATCCGCACGGGCAAGTGTGTGGCCTTCAACCATACCGTGCAGACCTGCGAGATCTTCGGCTGGTGTCCTGTGGAAGTGGACGATGACATCCCTCGGTAACACCCTGTCCTTCCAGGGAGCTGGAGGCCGGTCCCCAGCCCAGTCAGAGGGCATCTGGATCCAGAGAGGATCAGACTCTCCTTTCTGTGCCCCACCCTCCCCAACCCCCAGTCCACATGGCCCAGGCCAGATTGCCCCAGGCCCTGGTCGGGAACTCCGGGTCCCCACCCAAGGCTGCAGGAAGATCCCGTGTGCTCTCACCTCCCCCCACCGTGTCATGCTCTGCACGGGTCACATGGGGGACTCCTAGGGAGGGCGGTCAGTGAGTGCGGTCTCCTCTAGCCCTGCCCTTCTCCGAGAGGCTGAGAACTTCACTCTCTTCATCAAGAACAGCATCAGCTTTCCACGCTTCAAGGTCAACAGGTTCGTGGGAAAGGCAGGCAGAAGAGGTGTGAGCAGCTCCCTGAGACCCCTCCAGCTGGTCTCCACTGTCTCTGCCTCCCTCTGTTCCTGCCAGTGTCGCTCTGGAGGCAGAGATGGGGCTGGGCCCCTGGGGGCGGGGCTGATGAAGGGGCATTCTGGAGCCCATGATGAGGAGGCCCTGGGTCCAAGAAGTTAGCAAACTCTGCTTTTGGCAAAGGATCTGATAGCGTGGTCAGCAGGTCTTCCTTGGGAGTTGGCAGTTTCAGTGAAGCGCGGTGGAACTTCAGGCGCTGGCTAGCAGGGGGAGGCAGGGAACAGGCACAGGCCGCGGCCAACACCCTCTGTCCCATAGGCGCAACCTGGTGGAGGAGGTGGATGCCAACTACATGAAGACCTGCCTCTTCCACAAGACCCTGCACCCTCTGTGCCCCGTCTTCAGGCTTGGCTATGTGGTGCAAGAGTCAGGCCAGAATTTTAGCACCCTGGCTGAGAAGGTATGTGGGGGACTGGTTCCTGAGACCATGATAAATGCTTTTCAGACCTAGTTCATCTTCTAAGGCCTCCTTGGTGTGGGCTGAGTGTATGTGTGGGTCTGTTCCCCAGTACTAGAGGGACACGGTATGGCCCTGAGGGCCAGGGCTTTGTTCTCAGCAGCGCCTGGCATGGATCCGACACAGATGAATAGACACAGCAGATTTGTCACCTGGACACTTGCTGTTCTTAAAATTTTAGATGAAAGCAGCTTGGACCCCATAGCGCATGACCGTGAAATCCTGTGCTCTGGGAGTCTCATGGGTTCTGAGAAGCAGTTTTTTGTGTGTCATTTTTAGAGATTTTTGCTACAGAGTGTGTGCACTTGCTGGAGAGACAGAGAGACAGAAAGCGAAAAATCACCTTCCTTAGAGGGGCTGGTCACACCACAGTCCCTTCTCCATTCTCCTCTTGGGATTCTGGGCATACACACACACGTGCCCAGCGTGAGTTTTAAGCTACCTGATCTAGGACTCAAACTGCAGCTGACCACGTGGGAGTCTAGCCCCTTAGCCACTATGCCACCTGCTGACCCCTGTTTGTTTTTAACAGCACAACTTATATTTATCATCATACTATACACAAACAAGGTTCAGGAGTTTGGATTTACTAGAGACCTGCTGACCCCTGTTTGTTTTTAACAGCACTACTTATATTTATCTTCATACTATAGATAAACAAGGTTCAGGAGTTTGGATTTACTAGAATTCCATCTTTTTTTCCCTTAATTACCAGTACATGTGCTTGCCAGAGACAGAGAGAGAAAGAGAGAAAAAGCACTTCTGACTGGGGCATGGTCACACCACAAAGACAGAGAGAGAAAGAGAGAAAAAGCACTTCCGACTGGGGCATGGTCACACAACAATCCTTCTCCGTTTCTCTATCCTGTTGGGATTTGGGGCACTCAAGCACCTGGAGTGCTTTTTAAGCCACCAGGTCTGAGGTTCGGACTGCGTTTGGCCATGCGGGCTCCAGCTCCAGCCAGTAAGCTATGAGCTGGCTCCAGAATGCCATCCTTTTTTTTTTTTTTTAAGAATTATTTATTGGGAACCAGCAGTTAGTGTAATGGCTATGTCACTGGACTTCCACGTAGTTGACCGCAGTTTGCGTCCCGGACTCAGTGGCTTAAAACTCATGCCGGGCGCATGTGCATGCGTGCCCAAGATCCCGAGAGGAGAATGGAGGAGAGGGGATTGTGGTGTGGCCATCCCCCCGGGGGGTGACTTCTCGCTTTCTGTCTCTCTGTCTCTCTCTGTCTATCTGGCGAGCGCACACGCCCTATAGCAAAAAAAAAACCAACACTCTCCCAAAAAAAAGAATTATTTATTTATGTAATTAATTCCATTTATTATTATTTTTTTTGGAGAGATTTTTGCTATAGGGCGCGTGCATGCGCCAGAAAGAGAGAGACAGAGAGACAGAAAGTGAGAAATCACTCCCCAGGGGGGATGGCCATGCCGCAATCCCTTCTCCTCCATTCTCCTCGACTACATGTGAGTCCAGTGACATAGCCATTATGCTAACTGCTGGTCCCATTTATTATTATTATTTTTTAACGTGACCAACAGAGATAGAAAGGGAAAGTGAGAAAGCAAGCTGCCAGGTCCAGGACTCAAACCACAGTTGACCATGTGGGAATCCAGTGCCTTTAACCACCATGCCACCTGCTGGCCCCTAAATTACATTATTAAGGAAATACTGGTTTTTTGGGACCAGCAGTTGGTGTAATGGCTATGTCACTGGACTCTTTTGTAGTCAACCGCAGTTCGAGTCCCAGACCCGGTAGTTTAAACTCATGCTGGGCACATGTGCGTGCGTGCCCAAGATCCCGAGAGGAGAATGAAGGAGAAGGAATTGTGGTGTGGCCATCCCTCCCGGGGGGTGATTTCTCGCTTTCTGTCTCTCTGACTCTCTGTGCCTTTCTGGTGAGTGCACGCACCCTATAGCAAAAACCTCTCCAAAATAAATAAATAAATAAATAAATAAATAATAAAAAGATGGGGTTCTGGAGGCTCGCAAGTGGTGAGGTGGTTAAAGGCGCTGGATTCCCACATGGGTGATCCTGGTTCCAGTCCCAGATCTAGCGGCTTGCTTTCCCACTTCCCATTCCTCTCTCTGTCTCTGTCTGGGCAAATTTAAAAATA